GGCAGCGGGATCCCACATGGCAGACTGTGTATTCCTTTCTTTTTTTTTTTTTTTAATTATTTATTCAGTTTTATTTAGTAGTATTCCATTTCACCAGAGAGAGAGGTAGAGCGATAGTGAGAAAGCAAGCCGCCAGCTCCGGGACTTGAACCGTGGTGGCCAGCCATATGGGAATCCAGTGTCCTTAACCACCACGCCACCTGCCCAGCCCACAGACTGCATACCTCAAATCCCAGACCCAGTAGCTTCACAAAGCACACCAGATGCATGTGTGTGCATTCCCAAAATCCTTAGAGGAGAATGGAGGAGAAGGGATCGTGGCATGGCTTCTTGGTCTTCTCAGGAGGCCCTTTCTCATTCCCCCCTCTCTGTCTCTCTGTCTCTCTCTCCTACAAGCACATGTACTCCATAGCAAAAGTTAAGAGAAGAAAAAAAAGTCTTGTCAGTTCATGGAACAGCCAGGCCTGATCCGTGTCTTGGGCCAGAGATTGTGACATGCTTTCTTCTTCATGGTCCCAGGGACAGACACGTGTTCATGAGTTCTCTCATGGGGAGATGCACTGTGTGGGAGGACCAGCCTCCCAGTGTCTGACCCAGCCTTGGCTTCTCCTCCCGTCCACGGCCTGAGCACTCACGGCAGGTTCGGTCTATCCATCAGCCTCTGTCCAACTGTCCTGTGTTGCGGTCAGCCCCTCTGCCATCACTGGCAGATCTTAGCAGCCCAAATTCCGATGAGTCAGCCTCTCTGGCGGTGCCGGCCTCAACCATAGAATGGGAGTGGCGGCAGTCCCTCCTGGGCTTGTGGAGATCCTGTGAGCCACCGTGTCATGTGCAAGGACTACCTGGCATGCGGGATCCAGGAGGTACCTGCCCAGGGTCAGTTGTCATTGTCACAGTCACCAGGGTGATCCAAGAGCCCAGCCTCCACGGCTCTCCACGTCGTGTCTTCCCAGACCCTAGAAACAAACCCAGAGGTGACCAGGGCAGGAACCACCTCGGGATCTGGCCCAATCAGGAAGAGGGAGAGCAGCCTGGAGGGCGCCGCAGGTGACTGAACTTGTCCGCCCGGGAATGACCCTGTCCCCCTCCTGCTGCACAGAGGAGCCGCCAGGAAAAGCTCTCACGATCATTCAAAGCTCTCCCTGTCTCCTTGGTCATAATGCTTGCTTCCTGTGGCCGGTTCCTTTCCTACAGGGGGCGCTGCGTAGACAGGAGCGATGACCGGGCACTTCCAGGGGCGATTTCAACGAAGTCCCCCCAACCCTCCCCAAACACATACGTCCACTCCCACTGGCGGGGTGAGATGTCTCCAGTAGCGAGCTACCCCCGGGGTGAGGGGGAGAGACACGTGCCTGTCGGCCATTTACACTGACTACCACTGAGTTGCAAATCACTTTCATAGCAGAGTTTGAGAGGGTTAAAGGCACTGTAGATCCTATTATAAAGATGAAGAGGGGACCAGTTGGTGGCGCGGTACTTAAGGCAACTGGAGCCCACATGGCCGACTGCATGGTTCCAGTCCCAGACCCAGAAGCTTCATAAGCACCGTGGGTACCTGTGTGTGTGCCCAGAATCCCAGACAGAAGGGGAGAGAAGGGACTGTGGCGTGGCCAGCTCCCCTAAGGGGGTGATTTCTCACTCTCCCTCTCTCTCTTTCTGGAGAACTCATGCACCCTGTAACAAATTAAAAATAATAACATAATAATTTTTAAAAGGGGACCAGCAGTTAGTGTAATGGCTGTCGCTGGACTCCCAAGACTGCGGTTCGAGTCCCGGACCCGGTGGCTTAAACTCACACCGGGCACGTGTGCGTGTGTGCCCATGATCCCGAGAGGAGAATGGAGGAGAAGGGATTGCAGCGTGGCCATCCGCCCTGGGGGGTGATTTCTCGCTTTCTGTCTCTCTGTCTCTCTCTGTCTGTCTGGTGAGCGCACGCGCCCTACAGCGAAAACCTCTCCAAAAAAAGGATGAAGATAGAGAGCAGAGGGTCTGAGGGATGCACCCCAGATCACAAGAAGTTCTCTAGCCGAGCCAGATTAAGACCCCCATCTTCAGACCGCAGATCGACGTGCCTGTCTTAGATCCTGCACACCGGGATCTGGTGAGCACGGGGGTCAGGTAGTGACATGGCAGTAATGAAACTGGACCTCCATGGGGAAGGTCCTGGGTTTGTGTCCCGAGACGTCCCTGAGCACGCTGCGTATACACAGGGCCGTGAGTCAGGCTGATGGAGACGGGAGGGGACCCACCCTGGCAAGGGGACTCTCTCTCTGGAAGTAATAAATGAATCATTTTTATGACGAAATAAAATAGGAAGCCTTATTCATTTTTAATGTTTCAGAAGACCCCCGGACGAGTGGAGGTTCCTAGAAGAAAGCCATAGGAGGCTCCCCAACTCTTGGGAGCAGGGTAGCGCTACGGCTACAGGCCTGGGCCGACCTCAGGAACGTCACTCCCCTCTTTGTGCCTGGACTGCCCTGTGGGGAGCAGAGAAGATGAGGAGAGTAGCACGTCCCTGACGGGCTGGGGATTAGTCAAGGCGACACCACAAGCTATGGTTGTCAAGTACGGCCCCCCTAATTGTCCCTAACCATGCGTTTACAGCAGCCAGGTGGGCTCGGGTCAGCAAGGCTGTTCTGAAGTCCTCTTGCCACAGATCCTTTGGGGACACCTTCCCTCTCTGTTTTCATTCATGGTAGAGTATGTGTGTATGCGTGTGAGAGTGAGCGTGAGAGAGAAGCACCCTCCACAGGGCCTGGTCATGCCAAGACTCCCACCTTCCAGTCCTCCGGCCTGTGAGATCCTGGGCACTCCAGCTCATGCCTGGCACGGCTCAGGCTGACCAGGCAGGAGGCTCGAACCTCAGGCGTCATGTGAGACTGGCTTCTCCTGAGCAGCACATTCCCACTGTGTCCCGTAGCAGCCCCGGCGGCACTTCTGAAATGCTAAAGTAGGCATGTCCTTCTGCAGATGTACCTCCCACCAGCTGTCTCCAGCCCCAGTAGGTTAACTGTCCACTGTGAAAACCTGCAAGAAGGTAACCCTCCTTGAGAATTTTCACACGTGTCACAGAGAGCTTCAACCAAGTCAGTCAACAAACATTTACTGAGCAGCTACCGCGTACCAGACCGTAAGCCAAACAAAGAAGGGAGCCAGCAGGTAGTGTGGCCAACCACGGTTCAAGTCTCGGACCTAGCAGCTTGAAACTCACTCCAGGCACCTATGTGTGCATGCCCCCAGTCTCGGGAGGACAATGGAGGAGAAGGGATTGCCGAGTGGCCCTCTCCCCTGTGGGCTGATTTCTCACTTTATCCTTTCACTGTCTCTCTCCAGCCAGCATATAAGCCCTCTGGCAAAATCTTAAAAAAAGAAAAATCTACAGACTAAGTCCCTGCTCTCCCGGAGCAGAGTCTAATGCCCTAGTGGCTAATGGTGGGACTGCAGGCGCTGGTTAGAGGAAACGACCGAAGGAAAGAGGAAGAAAAGGCAAGAAACCGCGCCCAAGGCTGCCTGCTGCCATCGCCCAGGGTTCTGCTGTCACCCAGCCTGGGTGTGAACGCTCACTCTGCCATTTACGGCTAGATGGCCTCGGGCAAAGCCCTCCTAGCTGAGTGGCAGCTTTCTTATCCACCACGTAGAGAAATTAGGGGCCAGCAGGTGGTGTGGTGGTTGAGGGGCTGGACACTCACATGGCCACCAACAGTTCTAGGGCCGGACCTAGTGGCTTGGAAATCACGCCCAACTCATGTGTGTGCGTGCCCAAGATCCTGAGAGGAAAATGGAGAAGGGATTGCCACGTGACTGTCCTTCCTGGGGGGTGAGTTCTCACTTTCCCTCTCACCGACTCTCTCTGTTTCTGGCAAGCACACATGCCCTATGGCCAAAAACAAAACAAAACAAAACACCTAAAAAATAGCTTAAAAAATTAAAAAGAGAAAGAAAGACATTTTTTGCACTGGGAAAAACATACACTTAATTCTCTTTTTTTTTCAGAAACTTTTGGGAGACCCCCTCATGTATAGTCTGCCATGAATGGGCCCTTACTCTATGCAGGAACTATTTTAAGCGTGAAGCCATCTCACTGAATCCTCAGGCCTCACCACAAGGACAATTTGTCGTTCCCATTTTACAGAGGAGGAAACAGAGAGAGCTCAGTACAGTGAGTGACTTCACCCGCTGCACAGCTAATAACACTTGGCTGGGTCTAGCCTGAGACTCAGGCCTGACTCCAGAGTCGGACTGGCCACTCTTTGAAGGTGAGAAACTCAAGGCTCCTCCAGGTCAGTGGGGGCGGGACGGACATCAGGGGCCGGTCATGGTAGCAGCTGAGGCATTCCTAAGTAAGACTGGTGAGCCAGAAAAGGCGAGAAAGGAGATGAGACTTCCCCCAAGGATAAAACTGAAGATCATGTCCACTGTCAGGGCCTGCCTGGGCAGGGTCAGTCCCATCTGTTTATCCTACCACAGGCCAACCACCAAAGCCCTAGCTTTTCGTTTTCGTTTCGTTTGTGTTCGTTTTTGCTACAGGACATGCTCACTCAGCAGAGGGGTTCAGAGAGAAAGTGAGAAATTACTCCTCCGGGCGACGGCCGCCCCACAATCTCTTCTCCATTCTTCTCAGGATCTCGGGTACCCCCACCCACGTGTCTGGTGTATTTTCCAAGCCGCACACTTGCAGGTCCAGGACTCAAAACACACCCTCGGCCGTGTGGCATTCAGCCACCTTAAAGCCACACCACCTGGCAGGCCCTCAAGTCCATGCTTTGCTGCTACTTGCTGTGAGTCTCTGGGCAACTGAGTTGCCTGCTCTGACTCCGTTTGCTCAAGGAAAGTTGCCTGCCTCCTGCAAAAGCCAGAAGCTGCCCAGGCTGTGTATTGCCAAGCACGTGAATGCAGGCTTGGTCAGCCCTCAGCTCGAAAGGAAGTTGCTAAAGTATAAAAGAGTTAAGAGAGGGACCAGCAGTTAGCGTAATGGCTATGTCACTGGACTCCCACGTAGTCGACCGCGGTTCGCGTCCCGGACCCGGTGGCTTAAAACTCACCTCGGGCGCGTGTGCGTGCATGCCCAAGATCCCGAGAGGAGAATGGAGGAGAAGGGATTGTGGCGTGGCCATCCCCCCTGGGGGGTGATTTCTCGCTTTCTGTCTCTCTGTCTCTCTGTCTGTCTGGTGAGCGCACGCGCCCTATAGCGAAAACCTCTCAAAATAAATAAATAAATAGAATAACAGAAAATTATTTGGCTTGCAGTTCTAGAGGCTGGCAGTCTGAGAGTATGGTCCTGGGGCAAGAGAGCATGTGAGAAACACTGGGTAACAGACTTTTTCTTTCTTTCTTTTTTTTTTAAATAAGGAACTCACTCCCACAATAGCTAACCCACTCACAATGGGTTACAGTATTAATCCACCCATGAGGGCAGAGCCTTTATGACCTAATCACCTGTCAAAGATCTCACCTCTTAATATTATCACAATGGCAAGTAAATTTCAACCTGAAATTTGGAGCATTTGGCACGGAACCCTTCATGCCCATAGGGCAGGCTCATGGAGGCTGAGTTGTTTGTTTTGTTTGTTTTTATATAACCAATAGAATTTGAGAAAGGAATTATAAAGGAAATCTGAGTAATGACCTTTTGCTCCTGTTCTATAGATTACACATGCTTTCAGGCCAGTCCAATGGCTTAGTGGCTAAGCGAGCTGGGTACCATGTGGCTGACTGCGATTTGAATCCCTCTTGTTTTTCACAGATTGAAAAACATACCAGGCAAGTGTGCGTGCATGCCCAAAATTCCAAAAGGATGGAGAAGAGATTGCAGTGTGACCATGTCCCAGTGGAAATTACTTTCTTCAGCTCCTTTTCTATCCATCTCCCTGACTCTGGAAAGCGCATGTGCTCCCTGGCATAAATATATATATATATAATTTACATTACAAATTATTTCATAAAAGAACTGGAAGCAGTGAGCCAGCAGGTGGTGTGGTATTTAAGACAGCTGGGTCCCCTGTGGCCAATGGCGCAGATGGGCATGTGTCTCAGGGAAATGGCTCTTTCCAGCTCTTCCAGGTAGGGCCACCTCTGCGCTCACCGTCCAAGAGCTTTGTCTTGCGTGGCAGGGCATGTGGGATCTAGTTTCAGCTCTGCTACTTCTTATTTATTTTTTTATTTTTTTAAGCTAGAGGGCATTTGTGTTTGCTAGAGAGACAGAGAGACAAAGAGCGAGGGAGGGAAGAAAACACCCCCATAGGGAACAGTCACTCTGCAATCCCTTCGCCTTCATCTCTCCCTCCCGTTGGGACTTTGGGCAGGCACACACAGGCACTCAGTGTTTCTCAAGCCTCTGGATCCAGGACTCAAACAGCGTGGTTGGCCATGTGGAATCCAGCTCCCTTAACCACCAGGCCTGAGCTGGCTTGTCACTAATCTGTGGATGACAGATCTGCTGGTTGGGCCGATAATGTTGAATTTAATACACCTACTTCTCATTAATAGTTTTCATTAGTAAATACTTTAGTGTTGGGATCAGCAGTTAGAGTAATGGCTATGTCACTGGACTCCCATGTAGTCTACCGCAGTTCCAGTCCCGGACCCGGTGGCTTCAACTCACACCGGGCGCGTGTGCGTGCGTGCCAAGATCCTGAGAGGAGAATGGAGGAGAAGGGATTGTGGCATGGCCATCCTCCTTGAGGGGTGATTTCTCACTCTCTGTCTCTGTCTCTCTCTGTCTTTCTGGCAAGTGCACGTGCCCTGTAGCAAAAATCTCAAAAAAAACTTTAGTGTTTAATGTTTTGCAGGAAAAAAATCACTAAAGAACGCATAGGGCAGGGCGCACAGGTGGCATGGTGGTTAAAGGCTCTGGACTCCCACATGGCCAACAGTGGTTTGAGTCCTGGACCTGGCAGCTTGCTTTCCCACTTTCCCTCTCTCCCTCTCTGTCTCTCTCTGATGAGCATATGTGTCCTGTAGCAAATTTAAAAATAATAATGATAAATAAGATTAAATATATAATTCTTGGGAACAGAAGATGGCATAATGGTTACATCACTGAACTCCCACATAGTCGACTGCAGTTCAAGTCCCAGATCCAGCAGCTTAAATTCAACACCAGGCACATGTACCTGTGTGCCCAAAATCCTAACAGGAGAATGGAGGAGAAGATATCACAGGATAGCCATACCCCGGGGAGTGATTTCTCGCTTTCTGTCTCTCTGTCTCTCTAGTGAGCACACATACCCTATAGCAAAAATCTCTATTAAAAAAAGTAAATACAGGGAACCAGCAGTTAGCATAATGGCTATGTCAGTGGACTCCCACGTAGTCGACTGCGGTTCGTGTCCCAGACCTGGTGGCTTAAAATTCACGCCGGGCGCGTGTGAGTGCGTGCCCAAGATCCCAAGAGGAGAATGGAGGAGAAAGGATTGTGGCATAGCCATCCCTCCTGGGGGTTGATTTCTCGCTTTCTGTCTCTCTGTCTCTCTCTGTCTGTCTGGCGAGCGCATGCGCCCTATAGCAAAAAACTTCTCCAAAAAAAAAAAAAAAAGTAAATACATAAGTTTTTTTTTTTAAGAAAAAAGAATACGTAGGGCCAGCCTGTGTGCCAGCTGTTAAGGCTGCTGGACCCCACTTAGCCGTGTGGCTCAGGTCCCCAGTCCAGCAGCTTGGAAAACACACGGAAGCATGCGTGCCCGGAACCCCAGTAGGAGGGTTTGTGGTGTAACTGTGCCCCACAGGGGCTGCTTTCTCACTTCTCCTTCTCCTTCTGTCTCTCCAGGGTACACGTGTGTCTTCGGGCAAATCATATATACAGATATGTAAAAACGTCTGTATAGAGGTGAGCAGCTCCTTTGCCGCAGGCAAGGCACTGTGCTTTCTAGTCTGGTCTTGGAGGGTCCTGCTCCCTTCCTCTTACTCTAAAATATTCTACCACTGCCCGTAAATTCTCATCTCCTTTGCATACCTTAGACATCTGAAGTCCTCGACACTGTATTTTTTTTTTTTTGGAGAGGTTATTTTTTCTTTTTTTTTTTTCTTTTTGCTATAAGGACGCATGCGCTTGCCAGAAAAACAGAGAGAGAGAGAGAGAGAGAGAGAAAGCAAGAAATCACTCCCCAGGGTTGGGGGGGAACACCGCAATCCCTTCTCCACTCTCCTCTAGGGATCTTGGGCATGCACACACACGTGCCCGATGTGAGTTTAAGCCATCAGGTCCAAGATTCGAACCACAGTCGACTACATGGGAGTCCAGCGACATAGCCATTATGCTAACTGCTGGTCTCAACATTGTATTTTTTTTAAAAGAGAGATTTTTTTTTCCCCATAGGGTGCGTGAGCTTGCCGGAGAGACATAGAGAGACAGAAATACAGAAAGCAAAAACTCACCCCACCCAGGGGGGATGGGCACGTTACAATCCCTTCTCCTCCATTCTTCTCTCAGGATTTTAGGTCTGGGACTTGAACCATAGTCCATTACATGTAAGTCTAGTGATGTAACCATTATGCCATCTGCTGGTCCCAATTTTACTTAATTTCTTTTCTTACTTTTTCTTTTTTTAACTTTTTTTTTTTTTTTTTTTTTTTTTGGAGAGGCTTTTGCTATAGGGCACGTGCGCTCGCCAGACAGAGAGAGAGAAACATAGAGACAGAAAGTGAGAAATCACCCCCCAGGGGGGATGGTCACGCCACAATCCCTTCTCCTCCATTTTCCTCTTGGGATCTTAGGCACACACGCACACGTGCCCGGCGTGAGTTTTAAGCCACCGGGTCCGGGACGCAAACCGCGGTCGACTACATGGGAGTCCAGGGACATAGCCATTACGCTAACTGCTGGTTCCCTTTCTTTTTAAATTTTTACCAAAGGGCACATTCACTCACTGAGAGCCACAGAGAGAGAGAGACAGAAAGTGAGAAATCGCCCTCAGGGAGGATGGCCATGCTGCAATCCCTTCTCTTCCATTCTCCTCTGGAGAGTTTGGGCATGCACACACACGTGTCCAGTATGATTTTCAAGCCACCAAGTCCAGGACTCGAACTATAGTCAGTCATGTGGGAATCCAGTGCCTTAAGCATCACACCACCTGTTGCCTTTGATTTATTTTCACATTTTCCCATTCTCTCATTCTGTACTCATGTTTTGTAGTCTTTAGTGTTTAATCATATTAAATATAATTATTGATATGTAAGATGTACCCAAGACCTATTTGAAGTTCTTAGAAGAGCAATCCTACTGTCTGGCATTTCTGCTAACTCTTACTCATGTATCTTTTTGTTGTTGTTGTTGTTGTCCTTGACATATTTACATATAACATGACATTTGATTCTAAAATCTGTATATGAATCGGCTTGGCATAATTAACAATTTAAAGTGAAATATAAACATAAGGGCAACTTAAACATGGACATCAATTTACATGAGTCTATTCAAGGTTGATGATTATATTTAAAAAGTGAGGTAAAAAAATCTTTAGAGTGACCAGCAGTTAGCATAATGGCTATGTAGCTGGACTCCCACATAGTCGACCACGGTTCGAGTCCTGGACTCGGTGGCTTAAACTCACTCCGGGCGCGTGTGCATGCATGCCCAAGATCCCAAGAGGAGAATGGAGGAGAAGGGATTGTGGTGTGGCCATCCCCCCTGGGGGGGCGTGATTTCTCGCTTTCTGTCTCTCACTCTTTCTCTCTGTCTTTCTGGCAAGTGCACGCGCCCTATAGCAAAAACCTCTCAAAAAAAAAAAAAAGAAAGAAATCTTTAGAAAGCAACCCTGAATCTACATACACTTGAAGGCCACGGGCTGAAAATCCACTCTTGATGACTACCATTCAGTAAAGGATGTGTACCATCCATCACACATCTGTTTCAAAAACAGCATGTTGGGACCAGCAGGTGGCGCAGTGGTTAAGAACGCTGGATTCCCACATGGCTGACCATGGTTTGAGTCTCAGACCTGGTGACTTGCTTTCTCACTTTCTCTCTCTCTCTTGCTCTCTGTGTCTCTCTGTGGTGAAATTAAAAAAACAATGAATGAATGAATAAATAAAGTTAAAATAGTTCTTTTAAAAAAAAAAACAGCATGTTTCTAAAGTCTTACTTTTTTTTCTCTTACAAATAAACATCACAATACTGATAACTTTAGAGATACCTTCAGAATGAACTCCAAAATAAGCTGCTAACTTTCACAAGGCAGCCCGGAGCCATGTCTGATGGCATCCATTTTAATCATGGGGTTTTAAGAACATCTTTTTTGGTTTAATTGGTTTTATGTCTCCTTCATAATTGACCCGGTCTCTCTTCTTGGCAAACTTTTTTCCAGTTGTCCCCACCAAGATCTCATACCTTCTAGCCATTTCCGTTCCGATACACCAAGCTCTACTGTTTCATCTTCAATGTCTTCTTCTTTGTTCTTGGCGTTCATCTGCAGCATTAACTTCTCAACCTCAGCCTTAAATCCTCTGAATGACATTCTTCCGTAGACAAGATCTTCACATAGTAAGAAGCTCTGTTCTTCTATTATGAAACTCTTTCTCTTTAAACTCTGGCAGATCCAAATACCAGTGTTCTTCACTAATGATTTTTTTCTTCCTCCTTTAGTTGTTTCTTGGTTTCCAAGTCCAGTCCCCTTTGCATGAACGTCATGCATAGCAGGTTCTTGGACAACTTGGTCTTGCACTCGGCCACCATATTGCTTCCAGCCTGGCACCACGCTCTTACTCATGTTTCTTTATGCACTTTATAGTCTTGCACCATGATCTCAAATTCCATGGGTCTTTATATGTGGGAATCCCGTGCAACTTGTTTAGAAAGCATATCCCTCTAGAGACACTTTCAAATTTGCTTTCTTTTTTTTTTTTTTTTTTTTTAGAGATTTTTTCTTTTGGGGGGCACCAAGATCTCATACCTTCTAGCCATTTCCGTTCCGATACACCAAGCTCTACTGTTTCATCTTCAATGTCTTCTTCTTTGTTCTTGGCGTTCATCTGCAGCATTAACTTCTCAACCTCAGCCTTAAATCCTCTGAATGACATTCTTCCGTAGACAAGATCTTCACATAGTAAGAAGCTCTGTTCTTCTATTATGAAACTCTTTCTCTTTAAACTCTGGCAGATCCAAATACCAGTGTTCTTCACTAATGATTTTTTTCTTCCTCCTTTAGTTGTTTCTTGGTTTCCAAGTCCAGTCCCCTTTGCATGAACGTCATGCATAGCAGGTTCTTGGACAACTTGGTCTTGCACTCGGCCACCATATTGCTTCCAGCCTGGCACCACGCTCTTACTCATGTTTCTTTATGCACTTTATAGTCTTGCACCATGATCTCAAATTCCATGGGTCTTTATATGTGGGAATCCCGTGCAACTTGTTTAGAAAGCATATCCCTCTAGAGACACTTTCAAATTTGCTTTCTTTTTTTTTTTTTTTTTTTTTGAGAGATTTTTGCTATAGGGCGCATGCATGTGCCAGAAAGACAGAGACAGAGAGATAGAAAACGAGAAATCACCTCCCAGGGGGAATGGCCACGCCGCAATCCCATCTCCTCCATTCTCCTCTTGGGATCTTGGGCATGCACACACACACGCCCAGTGTGAGTTTAAGCCACCAGGTCCAAGATTCGAACCGCTGTTGACTACATGAGAGTGCAGCAACATAGCCATTACGCCAATTTCTAGTCCCTAATTTGCTTTTTAATAATATCTCATATGGCAGTTAAGTGACCTGAATTTTTTCTTCAATATTTAGGACATACCTATACTAAAAATTATTCATTAACTGACATTTAAATTTAATTGTTCTCCTAATCACCAGCGGACACGTGCTCGCTAGAGAGAGAGACAGAGAAATAAAGACAGAGCAGAGAGGGAGAAAGCACTCCCCGAGGGTATATGGTCATGCCACAATCGCTTCTCCAATTCTCCACCCTACTGAGATTTAGGCCATGCACACACACTCCCGGTGTTTTTCAGGCTGCTAGGGCCAGGATTTGAACTGTGGTTAGCCATGTGGGATCTGGCTTCCTTAATGAATGGACCACAGGACTGGCCCACCTAGACTCCTATATTTTGTCTATAAGCTATTTTCTCTTCTTTAGCTTATCTTTACAACACCTGATGTCAAGCTAGTGTTTCAGCTCCCACCCCCGAATAGGTACAACTGCAACACCTTGTTTACCAAAACTGGCGAAAACAAAGCAACACAAACAAGAAAATTCCACTAAGACAAAGTAATGCAAACAAACAAACAAAAAAACCTCTCAATTTTATCCCTCCAAAATCCATTTCTTCAGTTTTAAATTTCCTCTTTTTTTTTTTTTTTACTTTGGGGGCTTTCCCCTACTTTCAAAAGGAAGTTTCAGGATTATTCCTTCAGAAAACACAAGGCCCAAACGCCTACAGTCACTTCTGCTTGCTGCACTTTCCATACCTCCGCTGCAGTAGCCGGTGTGACCCGCCTTCCCGCCTGAATGGAGACAGGACAAATACAGGGGACAGGATACAAATCCTTTTCAACACATGCTCCATCCTCACAGATAAAAGTCCTGGCTAGAGTCAGTTACCTGGTGAGGTTGTTACTGTGAGCCAAAGATTCTCGTGTGGGGCTAGTCAGCGATGTGGTGGTTGAGGTGCTGGATTCTCACACAGGTGACCGTGGTTCGATTCCTGAACCTGGTGGCTGGAAAATCACCCCAGGCACGTGTGCAGCATGCTTGAGATCTCAGGAGAAGAATGGAGGAGAAGGAACTGCAGCGTGGCCATCCTCCTGGGGGGTGATCTCTCACTCCCCCCTCCCCTCTAGCTAGTGCACGCACCCTATCGCAAAAACCTAAAAAAGAAAAAGACTCTTGGAGCCAGCGGGTGGCGTGGTGGTTAAGGGCGGCAGTGGTTAGAGTCGGGACCTGGCAGCTTGTGTGTGCCAGCCTGCCCGAAATCTCAAGAGGAGAATGAAGGAGAAGGGATTGTGGCGTGGCCCTCCCCCCAGGGGATGCTGTCTCACTTTCCCACTGTCCATCTCTCTCTGGCGAGCACGCATACCCTATAGCAAAAGCCCCTTCCAAAGCATGAAAACAGACTCTGCTTCTTTTTACCGCAGCAAGGCCCCTGGGCAAGCACATGGAGGGGTGCCAGGTGATGCAGGCAGCCAATGGCTCCAAGGACGGCCTGGATTTCAACCCCATGGAAGACTACATGGTCCTGAGCGGCCCCCAGAAGATAGCTGTCGCGGTGCTGTGCACCCTTCTGGGCCTGCTGAGCGCCCTGGAGAACCTGGCCGTGCTGTTCCTGATCCTGGCCTCCCAGCGGCTGCGCAGGAAGCCCTCGTACCTGTTCATCGGCAGCTTGGCTGCAGCCGACCTCCTGGCCAGCGTGATCTTTGCGTGTAGCTTTGTAAATTTCCACGTCTTTCGTGGCGTGGACTCCAAGGCTACCTTTCTGCTGAAGATTGGCAGTGTGACTGTGACCTTCACAGCCTCCGTGGGCAGCCTGCTGCTGACGGCCGTCGACCGCTACCTCTGTCTGCGCTACCCGGCTGCGTGCAGAGCTCTGCTCACCCGCGGGAGGGCCCTGGTGAGCCTGGGCACCGTGTGGGTCCTCTCAGCCTTGGTCTCCTACCTGCCCCTCATGGGGTGGACCTGCTGCCCCAGTCCCTGCTCGGAGCTCTTCCCTCTGATCCCCAATGACTACCTGCTCGGCTGGCTCCTGCTCATCGCCTTCCTCTTCGCTGGCATCATCTACACCTACGGGTACGTCCTCTGGAAGGCCCGCCAGCACGTAGCTAGCTTGGCCGAGCACCAGGACGGGCAGGTGCCAGGAATGGCCCGGATGAGGCTGGACATGAGACTGGCCAAGACCCTGGGGCTGGTGCTGGCTGTGCACGCCGTGTGCTGGTTCCCAGTCCTGGCGCTCATGGTGCACAGCTTGGTTGCCACGCTAAGCGACCAGGTCAGGAAGGCCTTCGCCTTCTGCTCCATGCTGTGCCTTGTCAACTCCATGGTCGACCCTGTCATCTACGCCCTGAGGAGTGGAGAGATCCGCTCCTCTGCCCAGCATTGCCTGGCCCTCTGGAGGCAGTGCCTGAGGGGCCTCGGGGCAGAGGGGAAAGAAGAAGTTCCAAGGTCCTCGGTCACAGAGACAGAGGCTGACGGGAAATCGCCCCATGGCTAGAGCCTGGCAGACTCAGATCTTGATGGGTCTTTCCTAGTTGCAAACAACCCAGGTCAGAAATCGTTTCACTCCCTGGAGGCAAGAAAATGGCCTTGACCCTCCTCTCATGTGAACCTGCCCCGGACACTCATGCCTCCTTGCAGAAGTGTTGGGTCTGACTCCTGGGGGACCTGGTCGTGCCCACCTGCACACAGGCTGTTGGACAGCTCGGCCCTTCCAGGAGCGGCGAGGTGGACCAGAGGCAAAGGAACAGGGACAGGCTCAGCTCAAGCTGGTCAGGAAAATCTTCCCAAAATGGCTTAGCGCCTGCAGCTTTGAGACCGCGGGGCCAGCTGTGAGGTCTGGGGTCTGGGAGGAAGAATGGATTGTCCTGGTGACTCACGGTCTCAGATGGGACGGCACACCCACCCCGCTCCTGCCTCATCACTGGGCCTCCTTGGGCCTGGAGCTGTGAGAGGGCCCACCCCAGGTCATCCTCGTCCTCTGAGGAGCAAGGACTGAGCTGTGTTAACATCAACAGTGCCCACTTCCTCTTTCAGAGATGACGTCAAGGCTGCAGCTCAGAGTAGCAGTGTGGCTGGCAAGGGCCCTTCCCGACGTCCTGTGGACGCCACTCACAGCCACGGTGACTGCTTAGGTCTCCAGGGGCATGCCGAGAAGGCTGGGCTCTTGAGACACAGAATCCTCAAGGAATTTTATTGAAGTCTTGGTTGGTGGCATTTCTTTTTTTATTATTATTAAAGAATTGTTTTATTTAACTTTATTTTATTTTTATTTTTAATTTGACCAGAAAGGGACAGAGTAAGAGAGAGAGAGAGGGAAAGTAAGAAAGCAAGCCACCAGGTCCGGGACTCAGACAGCAGTCAGCCATGGGGAGTCCAGCACACGTAACCATCAAGCCACCTGCTGGCTCGGGTGGTGGCATTTCTAGAAGCAGGCTGTGGGAGGCTGCACACCAGCGAATATGCGGTTTCTCAGAAAGCAAACAATTACACAATGCCAAAGGCCATGATTGGTTCCCCTTCAAAACCATACTCTGATTGGCCACTTCCCATAAAGGCCACAATTGGCTCCCCTTCAAAACCTCACCTTCAAAGCCATACTCTGGGGAACCAGCAGTTAGCGTAATGGCTATGTTGCTGGACTCCCACGTAGTCGACCGCAGTTTGTGTC